TCTCTCTCTCTCTCTCTCTCTCTCTCTCTCTCTCTCTCTCTCTCTCTCTCTCTCTCTCTCTCTCTCTCTCTCTCTCTCTCTCTCTCTCTCTCATACGGGTTCGTTTTCTCACTTTTTTTTTATCCCATACCCGTAACAAAAAACAAACAATCAATATTTGTGGTGTAGCGATCAGGCGCTTCACTGTCCCACTCGGGAGACTTGAGTTCACTCCCTGAGCATTGAGACTTTCTTTTGAGTAGCTGGATCTTTCTGCAGGGATGTGGTATCCCTCTTAGTCCGGGTTAGCTCTGACAGTGACAGGCAGGGTCGAAAGCCAGCTTCCTAAAGGATCTAAATTGTGTCAATAGACGGGTAAAAACACCTGCATTACCAATCCCCCCCCCCCCACCCACCCACTCACACAAAAAATGACCTGCAAACAAAAACAAAAACAAAAAACCACTCACACATCAAGGTAAATGCACGGGCAAACCAGGGGAAAAAAACAAACTGAAATGTTTACTAAATTGAACACGCCTTCTTGGAGAGTACTGAATGAACATACAAAAAAGACAAGACTGCACTAAAATAAAGAAAAGTGAGAAACACGATAAATTTTAAGTTTCGTCAAACACAAAAGCAAATTTGGTGGTTCCGTTGGTGAAAACAGTCCCGGGCTTTTGTAATCGGAAAAAAAAATAGTAGCGGTGATCATAAAAAAACTGTTGAAGATTCCATACCGCGCGGCAATCTCTGATTGAATATTGACGTCATTGTCACTATTTTTAGTACCGGGGATTCATTTTGTTCTAAACAAACTAAGATTTACAAAATGGGGCGTCATGTGTTCTGCTTCATAACTAAACTGTCAGAAACACATCACTCGAGATTGTTTTACGGTTTGGAAGAGGAGAAGCTTGTGGTTACAACGATACTAAACATGTTAGGGTCACGTGGAGACACGTTGTTATCATCGCCGTCTAATTATGGGCTCATTTGATGAAAAAAATGGGCCCTACTTTGAGGAAGGTACCCTAAAGGAAATGACCATAAAACAATTTTTTAAAAATATTTTCTTATTGAGGTCAGGGGGTATCGGTTCCTAACTTATTCAGGTACCCGAAAATGTAAAAAGTTGTTAATCGGTATTTTGACCCAAACATCGTATTTTGAAGACCCGTGCCTTCCCTTAAGTCAATTGTTTATAGATTAAGATAATGATTCTGCCCCATTGTGTCAGACTGCAAGCTGTTGTGAATAAACAGTATAAATAAAAACACAGTAAATGATAATTTTGTGCTTGCTTTTGGTGGGTCTTGCTTCCTTCATGATCTTTGCTTTTTTGTCTAATATTCTGAGGTGGGTATCATTTCTTTCATAGTGTAGCAATTCTCCTTCCTTCACTGTGTTTACTGGTGAAATGTGAATATTGTTGTGTTCACTCATTCACTCACGGTCTACTTCGTCTATAATTATTCCTACCTAGATTTGAAAAAATGGGTGGTTGCTGGGTGCTCTGGTGAGACTATCATCTTTATCTCTCCTCCTTCTTATTTGTGTTTGTTATTCTCTAATAACATCTCTAATCTTGGGCACGTATATGACTTTATTTTGTTGCAAGTGCCATGGAGTGCTTACTGAAACAATATCTATAATTATTCAAACCTAGATTAGAGAAATAATATTAGTCCCCCCCCCCCCCCCCCCCCCCCACCTTTTTAGTGTTGCCTCATTGACAGCACAGCCTGCCTTCACAACATCCTGCCGGTACCGTCCATTCGGGAGAACTTCCATGCAGAAGACTTACTCTCCGATCGCCACCGGTACGAGGAGTACATCAGCCTGGTGCTAAACTGTACCGTACTCCGCCGTCTGGTGGCCATGCTCCATCTACCCCGCTCGCTTCTGCTGCACTTTGAGGCGCAGCTGTTGTACCTCCGTATGGCTCTCAAGCTGCACAGGGCCAGGCCTCAGCGACCGTCGCGCAGCAGCGTCGTGCGTCTCAACGTGGAGGAGAACAACAGCAGCGGCGCCGACTCTGAGAGTGGCAGTGACAACAGTGATAGTGACGGCAGTAGCTACGAGTCCACCAGCGATGGTGAGGTGGAAGGGGACTCTGACTTGGAGTACTGGTGATTTTTTTTCAGAAGTTAAAGATGGCTGATCTAAGAATATTTCTGTGGTTATGACCATTGTCAGAATGGTCTCAATAGAGAGGTGGACATACCACTGAGTTTGAATTATTTCAGTCTATGAGTCTGTTTTGAAAAAAAAAAAAAAGAAGTCTTTCCTTGATTTTTGAATGTGATTTATAGTATAGTGATTCAGAGCAACAACTGTATGTTCTTTGATGGTGGACCACTGCTTTGAATATTTTTTTGTCCTTATAATGATGTGGGGCCAGCTTGAATCAGTGAAGGGAGGCATAGCGTAATGAATTTCACTGTTTTTATATTATAGAGAAAGTGAGTAGAGAAATGTCCTATTCGTTTTTCATGTCCACCCAGATCTTGCAGTAGTAGCCGAGCATCAGGTCTCAGAATGTTACGGTGTTTAGCTGGGTTTCTGAAGTCTATGATCTGTGATGTAAGAAAGTGGAGTTGTTTTTCTTCAAAGGTGATATTGGTTGTAAAGGTTGATAGCTTGGTGTTTTGTACTCAATGAAAGAAGAATTCCCTTTCAGCCTAATGATGGCTGGGTGCAACACTCCGACAAATGCCATTTTGCAGAATGATGTGAGTCAGAGTCTTGCTACTAGCCATCGATTGAAAAATCTGTGACTCTTGATGTGCACGGCTATGCATTGTCAAATGGTGCTTTTTCACATAATTGTGCAATATGTGGATTAATGTTGCTGTGATACACTGTATTCTCTTCTACCTAACTGTTGTCATAAACTCCCTTCTCTCTTTGTATTTGTTCTTTTGTTTGATGCTTTAAGTCTTTTGATAGGTCATCTTTTAATAAGCTTTTGCCCATGCAAGTATCTCCACATTTTCCATGTCAGTTGAGTGTGTTGCTGACTCAATGCCTCTTTTGAACTTCTCCTCCTTTTTTAAATTCTTTCTCATTAATACAGCTGAAACGAGATGCTGGATAACAGTCAGTGCTGTTTAATACAGTAATTTTTTTCGTTGTGTGATGTTATTAAATCTTGAACTGATGCCTGTTTTGACTTGAAAGACGTGAGGAAAAATCTTCAGAGGCTGTTTCGGATAATATCTGGTCAGTTGTTGGAAAATGACGTTTGGCTTTTCTCTTTTTAAGGACAGGGGTAAAAATTGCCTCCTGTTGAAATGAAGTACTTGTGATAAAGCATTCAAATGCCTGATTTACTTGTGGTCCTAGTGAAATCTCCACCCTTCCCCCCCACCCCCCCCCCCACCCCCAAACAGAAGAATGATGTTTCCTAAATGTCCTTTCTAAATGTCGTATGACTCTCTTGTATGTGTGTCCTGAAGTTGTTTACCTGGTTACTATGTCTGTTGCTGCCATTTTTTTTTGTACTGCTGAGGCTGTGTCGAGTATCCTTACTTCTTGGATCATGTCATGTGCTTACTTAAACATTCCGACTGTGTCTTTCAAGGGCATAGAAACAGCGTACTCTCACACCAACCATACTCTCAAACCTTGGTAAGACTTGCATGCATCCATTGTGCTAAAAAGTACATTATTTCTGGTGCCAAGTCCTGTGACAGCTTGACTTGAAAGCAGACAAAGTACCATTATGTTCCAAAGATATTTGAGAAAAGCATTTGTACTTTTCTGTTGTTTTTTAAAAAAGAAAATTGTTTTTGAAATTTGAATGGGAAAGGGTTGTTTCAGTTGGTTTTTCTTTCAATAATGATACTACTACAAGAGATGTGTTTTTAGATTATAAGAGGGTGCATTTTATCAAGGTTTTGCTGTAGACCATGTCACATAACTTCCAGAAATGAAGTGAATATCTCTGAACACAAAACCATAATAATTACTGGAAGTAAATTGACTGAACAATCCTTTTTGTTGTCAAACCTAACCCCCCCCCCCCCTGGTTTCTAAACAATTGGAAAGACAGGAATGCTTTTTAATAAATATTTATAGAATATATAGATCTACATGTTAGTCTTTGGAACATTTGATAATAAGCAGAACATTTACAAGAAGAATAAGAAAAAGAAGGCAGAAGATGACATGCTTTGAAAGTGCGAAAAATGAGCTATTGCAGATGAACCTTCTTATGTGTTGTAAAGTTCAAGCCTAACAAGGAAATGTTTGGAGACACTTTGTTTTGTTACTTTTTTTTGACTCTGACATGACCTTTGAAGATAGTAATGCGTATATAAAATTTTATGGGATTTGAGAACTTTTGAAAAATCAAATAAGCGAATGTCCTTTTCAAATGATAAAAAGAAATTATATTTTGATGTCTGCTCCAGTGTCGTGCATTTCCAGGATGAATTTATATTTTCTTTCCCTGTTGTATTTGCTGTTGGTAGCAGTTCATGTGTTGATGTATCATTCACATTTAATTTGCTTTTTATGAAAATGAAAATCCTCTCATAATTGTGTTATTGTCAACGGAATGAAAGGATTGTGACTGACTTTAAGATTTAGGAAATGTTTTATTTGGTGCTAAAGTAAATCATTATGTTGGACTCCAAAACATGTAAAAATCTTGTACAACACAGGGAAGTGGAAAACCATTGATTTTGATCTTTTTATAGTTGGCTAATCTGTGGACTTTGATTATCTGATCCATTAGCTACAACTTAAGGTTGTGTGAAATTGAACTTTGATCAGGACTGACAGTAACTACCCAAAACTTGTGGCTTCACAACAAACAATGTGCTACCTCCCCTTTCTATTCTGTGATAGCCACAAAAAGGGTTTTCTCTCCTGTAGAAAAACTTTGCTTTACCTAATTACGCATTACGCATATATACTTTTTTTGTCATAAGACAGCAGAGCTATTGTTGAACATTTAACGAACCCCCTGTGGTGCATTTAACACTTTCATTGTAGAGGAGGATGATATTTTCTCTCACAAAGTTCACTATACGGTGTACAGTAGTAGTCATTAAGGGGTTAATAAGCATCAAGTAAAGTTTCCATTTAAACCCAGTCACCCAGTCCTGTCATTCTGCTAATGATAATATATGCCTGTGATGTAATATTATGTGGGCAAGAATGAGGTTATATGTGTGTGCCAGCATAGTTTTGTGACAGGCACAGAGAGGTAGACACACACAATTAAAGAGACGTAGAAATGAACATGATATGAAGGTAGGGACAGAGGAAGAAGGAGGGAGAAATTGAGGGAGAGGGAGAGAGAGAGTAGAAAAAGAGAGAGTAGAGAGAGAGGGAGAGTGAGATAGCAAAACAGTTGCTTCATTGAAGTTGATATCCTTTGCTTTTGCTCTGCTGGTTTTTCTGTTGCAATCCTGTATCTATCTGTAAATGCTGCTACATTTTATTTGTTTTCCACAACTGATGTGAGCACAATTAATTCCACAAGATAAAAAGGATTATTTTATATTTGTTCTTTACAGAGTATAGTAACTATTACCATTAACAGTAAAAAAGGGAGTTGTCTTGTTTTAGAATTTTTTTACAAAGATCTTAGAATCGTGGAAAGTGTACTTTGAGAAAGTAAGGAAAAACTTTTTTTTCGGAGATTGTTTGATAGTGTCTTATGTTACCACCTTTTGACAAGGGAAAGGTAATGAAAAAAGTGAAGATCATCATTTCTCCACTTTGGAAACTTTGCATTGCAGAAGCTGGCACAAAAATGTACTGTACTAATCACAGTATAAAAGAGGGTTTTTGCCTCCATGTAGCAGTTTTATATAACATCAGATTGCCTTAGTGTTTTGTGTCAGATTTGACTCTGGTAACGAATCTAAAATCAAATGTGTATTTAAAGAAAAAAGAATTTTTTTTACTCCACCACTTCGCTCCACCTTAGGCTCCTGGAAAAATATCGCTGCAGCCTAAAATTTTCAATCTTGTGCTCGGCCTCATGAACTCTTTGCCATACTAAAATCGATTTTGGCCAAATGGCAGCAATTTTGAACCATATTGAAGGTTACAGCCGAGACTCAGGGTGAGACATGTGTGTTTGTGGTCGCCTTAATAGCTATTGTCACTTGGCATTGCTAGACCTTTCTGTGTGACCTCTGTCTTTCTGCTGGCTCATTGTTTCCCTCTCAGCCTGGGTTGGCTATGAATGGCAGAGTTGAACCAGCCTGCCCCCTGAATGATCTAAATTGAGGTGGTGGGGCCGTAAAAAACATCTGCAATTATAATTTGTTTGTATGTGTGGCCTAAATCATTCCTTCACTGGACCACTGGGGCCCCTAGTGCTGGTCGTCCTAATTTGATTAACTCTCTTTGGTTTCTGTTGATGCATTCCTTGCAGTGACTTTTGGTATCCTTTCAGTAACTATATTTAAGTGTAGTGGGACTGCTCTAGATTTGGAATTTCATGGGCTAAGCAACATTTTTGAATTTATATATCCAAGTTTTTATGAAGATGTTTTCCAAGTTTTACCCAATAGCAAATAATCATATTTCATAATTAAGTTTAGTAGTTGGCGGTTGGTCTGGTGTTGTTTACCTAGTCATTCCCATCTAATATCTATTGTCTTTATCTCTCCTCATCCTTTTCTTTTTATGTTACATGTTACACTCTAATAAAACCTTTAATCTCCAGCGCTTATATAACCTATTAGTCACACTCACACACACACGCAAGTGCTGTAGATCTTGCTAAAATGAATACGAGAGAATTGAAACATTTTGAATAAGTGCAGAGGGGTCAAAACCTCAGGGGTTGTCAATGAAATTCCATGAATGTCTGATAATAAGGACCAGTGCTGAATAGTTCTTTTTCTTTCAATTTCAGTTCCATCTTAAATCTGTCTGCTTTTTGTTTGTTTGTTTGTTTGTTTGCTTTTAATTAATTCAATGTCTTCGCAATAAGCAACCATAGGAACTATGATTTAGATGTATCTTTGTCACAATGCATTTTTGAGTGTTGTTCATTGCTGTCACAACTTTTGTTCGAACTTTAGTTCAACTTTATCACAATGTGTGTCTAAGGAGTATTGTTCAACTTTATCGCAGAGTGTGTCTGAGTACTGTTTATCTTTATGACAATTTGCGAACAGTGCTGTTTGAAGTTTCTCCTTTTGGAAGTGTGAGTTATGTTCAATGTTGTCTGTTCAAAGATATAAGATTTTGTGCATATATCCTTTACTCTGATAAAGTCGATTGCTTGTACAGTAGCTGTTATATACACATATATCGCTTGTGGTTTGTGTCAGGAGGAGGGAAGCGTCTGGTGCTATCAGTAAGAGTGGTTGAAATTTCAATTTTTTTCCCCCTTCGTTTGTAGTTACAGTCAGAATTGTCTGAGATGACTACCCATTGGCGAGGAGAAAAAAGTTAGTCTTAAGCTGGTGGACGACTTGGACAGTGTCATTATAATAGAAAAATAATGTAAAGTAGGAAGTGGTCGTATGGATGATTGTCTTGGACAGGTTAGTGCAGGTTCAACTGTGGATGTTGTCCTCTAAACAGTATGATTTTGCAGCTTTGTGTAGCTTTTTTCCCTCTTAATATATCTCTGTTGGTGTAATGGTGAGGCTCTTTGCTGTTATAGGTGAACAGTGGGATTTTGACTCCTGCATGGGGGTGTCTATTTTATTCAAGTTCTCCAACTGGTTGCTCAGTACTGTAGTCTAGTCCTTTAAAATTGAAGCAACCCTCCTCCTAAATGGTATAACTTGTGTGGATGGCAGTGTAAGTCATATACAATCAGTGAATCACAAATGCTTTTCACTTTGGTTTTGTTACAAGTTGAGACTTTATTGAATGGAGAAGCACTGTCTAAGGACTTTGTGTGCAGTGTTATCACGGTTTCAGTTTTAATTTCCTAGTGAGGAGAATTTGCCTGATGTTTTTCTTTGCCTTGTCACATCGATATGCCTTCTGCTCCATGTGACTTAGGTTCTTATGGCTGTGACCCAAATTTGTAAGACTTTGCATTTTACTACTTAACGAACGCTGTTCGTCTGCATTTGTGTCCTTCTTTATCTATGATCATGTAGTTGCTGTGATGGGTGGTTGTGATGGGAATCAAATCTTGTATTCTATTTTATTTGTGTTCGTAATTACCTTTATATGAGCATGTTCATATGTATACATGATGTAAGAATTTTCTACTTATGTGTTTGTATTTTCATGTGGAAATGCTTGGTATTTTCCATGTTACTGACACTACTTAATGTTTTGCTGTAGAGTAATTTCTTGGTGTGGAATTGTGCATGTAGCCTGAAGAGATCACATGCGTATTGCGCTTGCATAAGTGGCGTGTAATTTGCAGGCTAAATGGTTCCTTTTGCACATCATATTAACCTATATTAAATTAAATTTGATAGACCTTCCAAGTACTTCAATAACATTGCTCAGATAAGATTGGATCTCTCTGATTTTCTAAAATGTCCGTCAAAGAAACCCATTCAGATTTGCATAAAATCAAAAAATTGTTTCTTGAATTCCTTTTCTGTCAGGTTGTACATGACTTGTTGCAAATGCTGTGAAGATACACATTTTTTTGGGCGTATATTTGCGATATATATACGTTTCTTTGCCACTGTGGGTTTGTTACACAATCACAATCTGCTGGGTTTGTTAAGCTTCAAATTTTTTTTTCTCCAAACTCCCATTTTTGGTCATGGAGTTTTTGGCAGGTCAACATTGATGAATACCCAAATTAGTTCATGCTAAGTGCTGCATGTTGCTCTGAAGGGAGGGGAAAAGGATATCAGCTTGTCAGAACATATTTATATATATATATATATACACACGCAGATAATTTCAACTGATTACTGAGTACATAAATCTGCCTCTCCAAACCTAAGAAGCATGGACTTCTAATTTGATTCATGGTCCCTTGATAAATACAATAGCTGCTTTTCTCATTCTGCTTTCCTTTGTAAGCTGAGTTTTGTTGATTTGAGTGTTAAAACGTTGCCCTTTTTATCATTCTGTTTTGCAGCAGAATTAATTAGACTTCACTTTTTTTTTAAAAAGGAATAGATGCTGTATTTCAGTAGGTTTGAGGTAGTCTTAACTTTTTGCTGTTTTTTTTTTAACTGGAATTTTTTTTGAAAGTGGTCTGTGTCTGGAAACACAATGCTTATTGGCATATTTATTAAACCATGGAATATTTTAATTATACCTGGGGCACACAGATGGATGGAGTTTTTTTCTTTGAACCAAAGATTATTTCTTTAAATTTCCAGACTTACTTAATGGATTGATGTGCAGATTGTAGTTGCATGATTTAGGGTCCCCAACCAGCTGTATGTAGAAATTAAAAATTATCAATAGTAAAATTATTGTATATGGAAAGACTGTAAATGTAATAGCGTGGTTCTATACTATGTTCTGCTTCTAATCAGTTTAGTTCACTCCTGGTGTAGGTTTATGTTGTATTTTTTACAATTCTTTTATTCTTCTGTTGCTCGACTCTCAAGTAAGTGGGCTTAGAGGTATCAGAAATGAAACTGCTGTTTTGGGGTTATCCCTTTAAATGATTCATTTTTTTTAAATTATATGCATTTTAAGTTAAACAACTTGTAATTTGTTGGAACTTTAGTGTTTTTCTTTTCGAATATGTTGCTTATTTTTTCTTGATATAATGTCAGATACTTTTGTAATAATTGTGTGCACTCTTTCACCAAAATCTTGCCATAAAGATACTTTTGTTGGTGTGCGTTTTAGAAGGCTGTGTGTAAATGCATGTTGTGATCTGACTTTTGCTAAATTATGTAGAAGAAAACAATCATTGTAAGTCCTATTTTTTATGTTTGCTAATAAAACTTTTTGATATTTTGAACAGCACCATTTTAACAAAAGTTTCCTTTGTTGATTTTAATAGTCATTGACCTGGCAGACATAGATGGTGGCTATCCTAGTGCTTTTCTTTTCTGTAAAACATTTATACGAATCTTAGGACTTTGCTTTTTTAGTGTATTTTAAAAAACACGTCTGTTTTCGTTTGGACAAATATTTGGTACAATCTACAATGGAGCCTGCTTAAACTGAACACAATTAATCTGAAAACAGGGGTTAACAAAATATCCAATTTTTTTCCTTCTAAACCAAAGACCCAGCTAAAACAAAGTAAATCGGATGGGCCTGCACAATTTTGGTTTAAGCAGACCCCACTGTATTTTGTAACATGAATGGGCTGAGTTTGGAAGGGAATACTCTGTTCCAACAAGTGATTGGGCACACCGTTAGCTCAGTTGGTATCATCATTCTTGACTAAGGAGCAGATGGTCCTGGTTCAAATTTCCAACAGAACGTCCTGAACTTTGTTTTATTTTGGGGGAGTTTTTGAAAGTTCTCTACCCATCTGGCCCAGTCATATTGTAGAACATATTCAATTTGGAAGTCCTACCTCTTCTTAAATAACTGTACAGATTTGGAAGGGTTTTTAAAGTTTAAATTAAACCTATACTATGACCAACAAGATGTTGGTGTTTTGATGAAAACTATCGAGTCGATGTGCTTCTCTTTACTCAAACAAAATACCCTGTGCAGGATGAGAAGGGTGTTCTTGTTTCAAATGTTTACTTTTTCTACCTCTTCTTTAGTGGGGTCCGGATCAGCACTGTTGGACACCAACTTGACCAACTCGTGGAACTTTTTTTTCCTAATCAGATGGGACTGAAGTTTTTGTCCTCTTTCAGGGAATATTGTGTACAGGTGATGTTCTGTTACTGTAAAGGATCAAGTTAAACTGTTCATGTTTAAGGAGGACTTATTTCGTCACTATTTTCAACCCATAGTACTACCCCAAATGCATAAACGTGCAGTTTATCTCACACATAGCGAAACAATTTTATTGCCTGCAATTTTTTTCTTATGCAAAGGCTTTACTTTAAGGCCTATATTCTTTGGTTGTAAAACGTATACATATCGAAAGTCATTTAAAATGAAAAGATTTCTGGGTCCTGATTTCACTATGTGCGTACCAGACTGTACGTATTAAGCTTTTGTTTGCTCAGAATTGTACAAAAAGTTAACATGTAGCTCAATTTTTCCAGTTGGGAGGAGGAAGACGGATAGGCGCAGAGTGATGATGTTGAAGGTTAAACACAACTACGTGTATTAACATCGTGTTTATCATGGTTAGGTATAATATGTAAAAAAGAAAAAAAAGAAACCAACCACAAAAACTGACGATGTTTAAGACATGCTGGATGCAAGATTTCAACAAGTGCTATTATGCAGTTTGGCTTCTGTTGGAGTCGGGCGTCCAGCCATTGATGTGATCATCTCAGAGTCAATAATTACATTCAATGTTTATAATTGTCAATATTAGCGTGTAAACGGTTACATCCCCATTTTGAACATAGTTTTTTCTTCAGTGTGGTGGAACTGCAAAAGCTATCATTTGAAACAAAGTACAGGAGACCCATTTGCTGAATAAGGGGTGGTTTCCTGGTTTCTATACGCAGTTTTGACAACGTTGTTTAAAAACAAACAAACCAACACAGGCCTCAGCTGTGGTGTAGTGGTTAGGCAGTTCCTCGTTACATGCAGAGGACATAAGTTCAATTCCAGTGTGGGGAGGATTTTTACCCAGTGTCTCAATTTTCTCTCTGGGATGTTGTAACCCGCTCAGCTCTGGTTTTCCCCGACAGGCAGAGTCAAAGCCTGCCTCCTAAATTGTTAATGAGGGTGTAAAAACACCTACATTTCAAAATATTATATAAATCCTAAAACAGACAGACAAAGAACCCGTTTATCTTGCCACCTATGACACTGCAATAGATCTCTGTCAACTACCCCAATAACCAATGTGTAACAGAAGAAACTGAAAAAAGTTGTCACTGATTGCTGCTTGGAATAGTTTACAAGTAAGAGTCGTCCCTGATTGAATGATTTACACGCAGATTTAAGTATGTGCTCGCTAGTACAGTTGTACTGCAACACCAGGACCTCAACAACCCGCCCGGGTTTTTCCTTGGCGGCCAGCATAACCCGGCCTGGCTGGCCCGCCTGCTGATCTCGGGCGGGGACGTGGAGCAGAATCCGGGACCCCGTTGGCCCTGTGGAGTATGCGGCGACAGTGTGCCTGCAAAAGCAGTATCGGCCCGATGTCAGGAGTGTCTTCTGTGGGTCCACCTCCAATGCTCTGACCTCACCCGACAACAGATGCTAAGCCTGCCATCAACGAAGAAGGGAAGACGCATCACCGAGAATGGACGTGCCCCTCCTGTACGATTGGAGCGGCGCAACATCCGTTACGAGCAGCGACACAACCTGTCTACACACCTCCAACACAACCCGTCTACACACCTCCAACACAACCCGTCTACACACCTCCACCACAACCCGTCTACACACCTCCACCACAACCCGTCTACACACCTCCAACACAACTCGTCTACACACCTCCAACACAACTCGTCTACACACCTCCAACACAACCCGTCTACACACCTCCACCACAACCT